CCTCCTCTTTCTAATCCTCCTCCTCCTCCTCCTCCTCCTACGCCTCCTCCTCCTCCTCCTCCCCTGCTCCAGCTCCCGCGCCTCCTCTTCCGTCCCCTTCTCCTCCTCACGGATGGCCAAGTGCCTGCCGATCGTTCTGAAGCGCGGTGGCGCTGGGGTATGCAGGTGGGCCATGCTGCTGTTACACTTTGCAATGAGAAAGGTCAGATACAGCAGATATTAGTCGATCGTACCGCGCATGCTTCCGTTGGCCGTTTCAAGGGCGCACCCACTTTCCTCTGGACTGTCTGGTAGTCTCCTGGCAGGTGTGCGGAACAACAATGGATTTGCAAACGGATGGAAAAGCAACGCGTTCACATCACACACGGGCGGCAGCGGCCTGCGCACTTGGGTGATGCCTCCCCCCCAGCGCGGCTCCGAACGTCGCGCGCCTGAAGGTCACTCTGGCGAGAGCCTGCTCATGTGTTCTAGGGATCACTCATACAGTCGGGGGCTTGACCTAAGGAACCCAAAATAAGGAACGAGGCCCCTTTTTTCCATGAGTTCAACTTCGATTTCCGATCGAAAACAGAAGGAACACCTGAGGCAAGCTGCGAAACACTTCAGGAACGCGGAGCCCCTCCCCAACGAAAAGGGGTCCTTCTTCAGGGCCCCGACTGTACTGCCCCACCTCTATCTTCACCATATCGACCACATCCTCCCCTTCCTCCTCCTTCCAGGTTTCCCCCAGATTGGGTGTCCACGCGCGCGCCGCGGACCCACGCCCCGTGCTTACAAGAGAGGCACTTCTGAGTGTAAGGGCTGGCACAGACTGTGGTGGCTGGCCCTGTGGCTAGGTAAAACATAGCAGCTCGTGTGTCTTCTCGGTTCCTCGGGGGGGGGGCCCTTCACCGCTCCAGTTCACAGGGAAGTGCCCCCGTCACTGTCGCCAGCCTTGTGGTTCTTGTCCACCCTGAACATGAGAGCCAGTATCTACACATGTTTTCTGAGGCTGGCACTCTGTAGGCTGGCCTCTGATTGAAATAGTCTCTAAGTGAGAGAGAAACGCTGTGGTGAAAGGTGGGAGGTGTCAAAGTACGGCGGCCCATAGTAGGACAGAAACCCCTCCGCCGAAGGCCAAAATGGCCAGGCAAAGCCCGCATTCACCACGACCCACCCGACCCATGCAATGTCCCATCCACCCTCTCCGGTACACGTAATTGGGTCGGCGCTGCTGGACTAAAGCTAGAAAGAGGAGAGAGAGAGACTGTTGGTAACATGCGAGGCTTTCTTCCTTCTCCTCCTCCTCCTCCTCCTCCTCCTCTTCTTAGGTCGGGCATGTCCTCCTACAGAGGGATCTCAGACGGAAAATACACATACTCAACAAATATTCAAAAATAGTCCAAACATCGTCCCCGGACTATTTTGTTGACTATTTTTGAATAGTACTCCTGTAGGAGGGGACAGCCCCACTGAGTCCTCTTCCTCTGTTTCTCCTCGGGGCCGAGGCCTGGTCCCGGTAGCGCATGGTGGTGAGCTTCGCCGTGTCCGGGAGCGGCAGCGTCAGCACGCGCCCAAACTCCTGCAGGCGGGGCAGGCGGCGCGGACGGAAGGATCGAGGATCGGAAGAGGGAGAGGACCCAAACATGCTCGCGATGTGACAAACAAAAAGCGACAGATTCTTGGCCATGTTCGGCCTCTGGTTTCGTCAAACCCCGAGACGGTCAAACGACGACTCGACATGAGAAGCCAGCCCTCGAAAAAAAAGGGTCGGGACTTCTGGGGGGCGCTTTTAAAATAAACAAGACGCCGCATGTCTGGGGAGGGATCGGACCTCATGCGCTGGTGGGCCCAGAGGACCTAGAGACCTTGGTTCCTACCCTCATGTGCTGGTGGGCCCTTGTCTTGAAAGCGCAGAGCCGCACGTTTCACCCTCCTCCTCCTCCTCCTCCTCCTCCTCCTCCTCCTACTCCCACGGCCCCTCGTCCTCATCCTTCTCTTTTTCCAGCCCTCGCCCAGATTGGCACACCCTTCGCACGTTTCGTTCCCACATGGAGCTAAACCTACAATCGGACTTGCTCGGATAGTGCACGCAAGAGGACAACAGACCCTTCCGAGGGCGAAACTGCCACAGGAATGTAGTGGCATGGGTCGCGAGACACAAGACACAAGGGTACCCTGGACTTGGCAGGTTCGATCTACTCATCAGGGCCGGAATGCGCGGCCCCAGCGGCACACGCGGTCCGCGCGCCGCCAGCCCGCCGATACACAACACGCACACACACACACACACACATACACACACACACACACAAAAACACACACACACACACACACACACGCACGCACGCACGCACGCACGCACGCACGCACGCACGCACGCACGCACGCACGCAAGCACGCACGCACGCACGCACGCACGCACGCACGCACGCACGCACACACACACACACACACACACCGTCGCGCAGCTCGCGCCTGAAAAAAAGACCCCATCTGCGGCCCCCACTCGGCGCAATCCGCGCGCCGCCACCCCGCCGATGTCGGCACACCCCGCTTACGCGTCTCGTGCTCCATATGGAGCTGCACGGTTTCCCCGGGGACGTAGGCGACGGGTGGAGGAGGAGGGAGGAGGAGAGGGTGGAAGAGGGGGAGGAGGACGAGGGAGGAGGAGGAGGAGGAGGAGGACGACGAGGAGGAGGAGGAGGAGATGAGGGAGGAGGGAGGTGGAAAGGGGAGGAGGAGTTGGATGAGGGAGGAGGGAGGAGGAGGAGGAGGAAGAGGGGGGGGAGGAGCAGATGGGAGGAGGGAGAAGGGAGAGGAGGCGGAGGTAGGGATGAGGGAGAAGGGAGGGAGGCGGGAGGAGGAGGTGGGAGGGGGAAAGGGGGGAGGAGGAGGTGGAGGAGAGGAGGAGGGAGGAGGAGGGGCGGATGAGGAGGAGGAGGAGGAGGAGGAGGAGGACGAGGCGGAGGAAGAGTAGGAGGAGGAGGAGGAGGAGGGGAGGAGGAAGGAGGAGGAGGAGGAGTGAGGAGGAGGAGGGAGGGAGAGGAGGAGGAGGAGGAGGAGAGGATGCGGAGGAGGAAGGAGGAGGGAGGAGATGAGGAGGAGTGAGGAGGAGGAGGAGGAGGCGGAGGAGGAGGGAGGAGGAGGGAGGAGGGACGGAGGGAGGGGAGAGGAGGAGGAGGAGGAGGGAGGGTAGGAGCGAGAAGGGAGAGGGAGGAAGGGAGGGGGAAGAAGGAGGCGGGAGGAGGAAGAGGAGGAGGAGGAGGAGGAGGAGGAGGAGGAGGAGGAGGAGGAGGAGGAGGAGGAGGAGGGGAGGTCGGAGGGGGAGGAGCAGGAGGAGGGAGGGAAGGAGGGAGGAGGGAGGAGGGAGGAGGGCGGCGGGAGGAGGAGGAAGTGAGTGAGGAGGAGGCGAGGAGGAGGAGGAGGAGGAGGAGGGAGGAGGGAGGAGGAGGAGGAGGAGGAGGAGGAGGAGGAGGAGGAGAAGGAGGAGGAGGAGAACGGGCCGCCTAAGCCCTTCGGAGAAACCGTCCACGTGGAGCCCCACGGACGGCCCCACAAGCACGGTCCGCAAGACGGCACCGCCCCAGCAGCGCAGCCCGCTGCCACCCTCCGCCAATGTTGGCACCCCCCTCACGCGCTTGCACCCCGCAAGGGTCGTGTCGCTCCCATCGTACTTGAGGACCACGTCCCAGAAAGGACTTCGGGCACCCAGAAAAGTATCGCAGCAGTGTCGAGCGAGTATCGCCTCCAGGGGCCCGGCACGTGAACACCCTCCAGGTGCGGTGCCTTCCTGCTGTTCGAAATTCTCTGGTGATCAAGGCTAAAATAGGCTGGAACATCATAACGCAAGGGATTCGGGGTGCCTCCGCGCGCTTTTCCGCAAGCCCATCTCCGCACTGCCCCTCGGCCGAACCCCCAAGCTGGCGCCGAAACCCGAAAAACAGATCCGTGAAAGGCTTCCAGAAAGCAGCCCACCCCTCGAGAGACCCCCGAGAAGCTCGGCGAGCCCCTGAGAAGCAGCGCAGCGACCGTGCACCGCTTCGACTGCACCACGATGCAGTGCTGCAGCACGCGTTTTCCCACGTGCTGGTGGTGGACATGCGCGGCGGCGCAACTGGATCCCCAGACCCCGACCTGACAATGCGCTCGTGGGCCTGGGCGCGTTCCAAGACATACCCGCGGCGTGAACAAATCGCGACGGGAACGTCGCTGGCCAGTGTCGGCCTCCGGCGGGCCTCTAGACAAGCGCGTTCAACTGCTCGCAAGGCAAAGACACGCACATGGCCTGGATCAGCTGTGGGGGGTCTACGATCCACTACATCGAGGCAGGCACCAGGTGCTCGGACGTTTGCGACTAGGCACTATGCGAGTAGTGGAGCGCGCTGGGTAAGCCTCGCTGGGCCCTAGGGCCACCCGAAGACGGCTCGGGATAACAAGCCAGCCTTGGGGTCGGGGCCCCGATGACTTGGGGCTGTTATATAGGACAGGCCGACGCTGGCCGCGAGGGAAGAGGGGGAGAGAGAGGAGGAGGAGGAGCAGGAGGAGCAGGAGGAGGAGGAGGACGAGGAGGAGGACGAGGGGGATGGGAAGGGTCGAGTTTGACGACGCGAGGGGGGCGGAGGAGGGAGGGAGGGGGGGGCAGAAGGGGGGGGGAGGAGGGGGCTGGAGCGCGCGAGCCCCCAGCGCGCAAGACAGCCCCAGAGCCCTCTCGTGCGCCCGACTGCCACGTCCGCGCGGGCTCCCACGCCAGGGGCTGGCGCGCGGGGGGGGGGCCCGCGCCTGCCGCAGGCCAGGAGCAGCGGCGCGGGAGCGCGGGATCTCCACTGCAGGCGTTCCTTACAAGCAGCCGCTGGGAGGTCTTCGTCCGAAGGGCTGGGCGGGACTGCGCCCCGCTGGGGGGCTGCCACGTCGGATTGGGCCGCGAATGCAGCGGGACTGAACCTGGTCAAACTGGATGAAAATCGGATTCGACGGGATCAAGCCGGATTGAGCGGGATCCCGTCAAATCAGGCCGGATGGAACTGGATGTCGGACCAGGACAGAGTCGGGATCTGACCTTCCAGACGTTTCATCCGAACTTCCAGATGCTTAGCAGAAGTGCTGCAGGATAAGGAGCTGTTACTGCATTTATCTTGCAGACGTCCTGCCGCGAATTGTTGCGTGGATTTCTGTTAATGGAAAACCCGAGATGACGGGCCCAAAACGACATACATATCATGTGGATGATATGTGGTCTTCATTCCTGGTCCAAAAATGTCCGCACGAAATTCACCTCGAAATCCGGAACGGAATTCTCCAGGACTATCTGGGCCAATCTCATTGTTTTCCTAACAAAACTCGCTCTGCCATGTTGACGCCATGAAAACTCCATGTAAGGGCGAGACATCTGAAGTGCAGAAGGGCTGCAGCGGAACGGCGGAACGGTCCTGCTGCTGCCGTGCGGATTGCCTGGCCACGGCGCGGCGCTTTGCGCGCGCGTTTTGCGAGAGACTTACTCTGTTGTGTCCACAGCAAACGAAAGACCGTCGTGGCAGGTCCTCTCCCTGCCAGGGGACTCACATACTGGGAGGCACAAAGACATACTGTACTGTATGCTCGTTTTGGAGGCTTGCGTCCGACCCGAACTTACAGTATAATCTTCCTGTTGTGTATTGTTTCCCCAGCAGTATGGCCAGAAAGCGCCCGCCACGGCGCGTAGACTAGAAGATCTCACGGTGTGGGCGTCGCCCCTGGGGGGGCGACGCAAAGCTAGAAGGCCACAAGAATAGTGAGACCCCCCCAACTGCCAACCCCCTGTCTATGCATCCCTCATGGGGGAAGGGTCGGGGCTTCCTGGAACTGCGCGCTGACAGACATCAAGACGTCGCATGGCTGGGCCGGGAGGGCGGAGCAGGTAGGGGACTGATCCCCTTGCCAACATGATACAATCGACCGCTGAAGCGCAGTAGACTGGGATCTGGGAGTCCAGTCCAACAACGCCTGCTCCCGAAGGAGCGGGCAGTCTCCAGCCCAGCTCGCGACACGGCGAGGCGCGGTCACTTTCGCGCGCCGGCGAGTGTGGCCCCGACCCGGACATGCGATGTCTTGCTGTGTTCAATGCGCGGCTCCTCGAAAACCCGACCCTGGTCATAAAACCCCTTTCTGATCCCGAATCGTTTGTTGAGGAACCCAAGGCCCGGGGAAGGCCCCCAGAGGCCGGAAAACTGTCAAAATCCGTCCAGCGTGTTTATTTGTGGAATGGCTCGAGCTTGTACGAGGCATGCTGCCACGTCAGCCGCCTCTTCCCGCTGCAGCGGCGAAGGTGCGAACGGCGGGCGGGTCCGGCTCGTCGTCTGGATTGTGGTGGGCAGCCACGTATGGGTGTTGCAGCGCCTCTTGGGCGGGGCCGAAAGAGAGGGGTATGTGGGGAGGGGCATGCGAAGGAAAGGCGACGGGGAGCTGATCCAGCAGCGGCGGCGGAGGAAGGGGAAGGAGAGGGACGAGGAGGAGGAAGAGCATGACCGATGAGCCGTCTGGATCAACCCTGCATGTTCGAACTAGTTTGGGCCCTCGTTAGACTTCCGATGTGCGCACGACATGTATGTAGGCACCACTGTGTACACACATGTGTATATATATATACACACATGCACATGGACCCCTGCGTTATCTACTTCCCGAAGCTGCACGCAAAACGTAGTGAACTAACAAGCGTTACATCTTGTTGCAAAGGGGCCAAAAGACGACGGCTTAGTGTGAGCACGCCTGCGTCAGACAATGCATCATCACAGGGATCGCGCAGTGCCCTGCGAACTCCACCGAGGAGCAGGCGGACAACAGCAAGTGGGTGGGAACACGGCGGGGGCCATACTATTACATCGTACGCCGTGAAAACGAAGCTGATAACGGTTCTGGCACACAGACCACACATATCGAACAGTTTGGCTGTTTATGATTGCCCACTCTATCCACCATCCAGCGCTTGCCAAGGCTGCACGCGAAGCGTACTGGAATACAAACGCGACGTATTATTCTAATGACCAAAAGGGCCACGGCATCTTGTGAACACGCACGCGTCGATCAACGTATCATCACCGTCCCCTTACAAACGGTAGCCGCAAGCAGTTGGAGAGCAACAGAGAACAGAGACCTCATGCAAACAACACCCCGCATTTGGAAACCATTTAAACAAATTCTGCAAACAGGAGGCTAGCATCAGCTGGACTGTTCGGGCGCAAGGAGTAAGGCTCACTTTCCTTCGCCTGATTACTTTCGAACTGAGCAATTTGGGGAACCGTCCGCCGAACGACCGATGCTAGCCAGCCGCGCTCCTGGGACAGCAGCAAGATAACATCTCCCCATGAGGTCGTGTTAGGTCCAGCGCGCGGCCTCGAAACCCTGGAACCCCGCCGAAATCTGCAGCCGGCGATGGAGGGTAGCTCGCGCAGCGCAACTTCACACAGGACGATAACTGCACGCGAAATTCTAAATCATCGGAGCAAGCCACTGTCGAGGATGACCGTCATTTCGTAGCTGAAGATGGCGTGGGCGGCGACGCGCTGTTGGGTGGCCATCGGGTTCAGCGCGCTCACCCAGAAGGTACTGATGCGCCCCACACTGCCTGCCAATATTGTCGGCTAGGAGGCGGCTCATTACCTAATGGAGAGGATCCAAAGAGCAATCGCTTGACAAGAAAGATACCTCCAACATTCTTCAACGAAACGCGCCGACCGGCGTTGGGCGATATGCGAACGCAGCTCCAACTACGCCGCCCGCCCCGAATCATGGCACTCGCGTTGACGCTGGCCTCGCGCTGTGCGAACAGATTATGCGCTGTTCTGGGTGAATCACGATTTTGTTCCGCGCGCGTCGCGTGCGGCGGAGGCGCGCGCGAAAGCATCGGCACGCGCTCCCGCCGCGCGCCACACACGCGCGCGAAGGCACCAGTGCGCGCGCGGAATCACAGCGCGAGCGCGAGCCTTCCTGGCGGGCGGCGAGCGCGACGGCAAATCGCCCGACCAAGCCGCGTGACAGATTTCCCCGGTGGTCAACTAAAACAGGGCTAGGATCGGGATCAATCGCTCCAGAGCGTTCCGGAGCGCTCTCAGAGCGTTCCGGAACGCTCTGGAGCGGCCGCGGCGCCCAATACATCCTCCGAACCAGCCAATTCTCAGAGATTTCGAGTTATCTCGATCCGATTGTGTCCCGATCTTCGCGTCGTTTTATCAACGTTCCCCGTGAATTCAAAATTCAGACGGCGCCTCCACAAGTTGTGATGCTCGTCTTCGAAAAGCAACATCGTCGCCACTTCGGCCATGTCGCAACTCTGCGCCGCCGGCGGATTCTGTCGTCCGCCTCCTTCGTCGTTGGCAACTGTTTTTGGGTCGTTGAGCTTGTCGTCTGCCTCCTATTGTTGCGTCGTCGGCCTTTTTGTCTCGTCGCCGGCCCTTTCTGTGATCGTGTTGCGTTTTGCTTTTGTCGCCTGTTCCTCCTTGGTCTCCTTCGCGGTCTAGTTCCGAATCTTACTCAGGTGCATCAGCGCGCTTGGGGCCCATCGCAGCCGGACTCACCTTCAATACCTCTCACGTTTCCCGCGCCCCCATTGCCCCATCCGGAAGCGATGCCCAGGCGTTGACCATGGAAGCTCGATTCTCGGTCTTCGCCCACCCCCTTGAGAGACCGCGCGTAGCCGCTGGGGGGGGGCTCCGTGATGGGACCCGCGGCTTCATTCATTTTTCATGCCATAAAACATCGATGTAAGCAGAAAATGGTCGTCGTTCGTCCCTTTGTGACCCCATGGAAATGACCGGCGTGAGCCGCGGCCTGGGCGCCGACTTCCTCACTTGCATCGGCGGTGGACAAATTTCCCTTTAGCGAACCTCACCTTAATGAAAACGGCCTGAAATCGAATCCGACGGACCTGGACCCGCAAAAATGACGGCCGCGACGCCCTCCCGCGAACCGAAAACGGCCAATTCGCTTATCGACGTGTCAGGGTAGGAGGTCGATCCACCCCCGACTGCACCATCTTTCGCCTGCCCGGCGCGGGCCGCCGCGGCCCCGGCCCCTCCCCTCAGTCCCTCGGCGTGGCTCTGGAGGTCGTGCTGCAGCTCCGTCGTGCGGCCCGCCTCCACGCCGACCCCGTCGAAGAGCCGTTACCTATTTGAGGCGACCATCGGTTAGGCTACCCACGGTGACAGGCCTCCAGGAACTGATGTGGATCACGGCCTTCTTGCGGCCGCCGCCCCATTTGGCCTTGCAATCGCAGACGATGCACGTACAGAGGTGGTATCACCCGGGGCTGTCGTACTCCCCGCTGGCCAGCCACTTGGAAGACTCGTTGTGCGAGCATGCTGGGCTCCGAAGCGAAGCCAGGTTGACCCGGTCACCGTCTGCGTGGCCTCGAGGATCTCCGCGAGGTAGCTCCCCTGTTCCCCGTTAGAGTCGTCATACGCGACCGCCTCGAGGAGGGAGTGAGCCGTGAAGTCGTAGGAAGACGCGTAGACTGGGTTCTTAACGTTGTCGACCCACAGGGCTATCGCGGTAGCAGTGGGAGCCAGCCTTGCCCTCACAGGGCAGTGCGACGTCCGCAGCGGATGCTGCACGCGAAAAGGCGGACCCTGGCAGGGCATAAGCATGCGCTTGCACGCGCAGCAAGACTCGACACTGATGACGGCTTTTGTGGAGGTAGGGGACACGGTGAATTATGGTACCTGCCCTGCGGTCCGGATTCCGCGTATACGCACATATGTGTGTATATATATTATACACATACATATATAAATATGGCAAGACAGAGATTGCACAGCATCGATTGCACCACATATAGTGGATCACATATATTGCTCCATACTGATTGCACCACAAATCTTGGGAAGGATCACACATATTGCACCTGGGAAGGATCACACATATTGCACCACAAATCTTGCTCCGAATCTATTGCACCACATAGACGGCCCCACATACATAACACGACATACATTCCCAGAATCACACTGTTTGGAGTCCACGATGGCCCCACATACATAACACAACATACATAGCCCTCTTCCCAATGGACTCACTTTTAGCCGAGGCATGCCGTCCTCTGCCGTCTCGCGTGGGTCGCCCAGGAACCGGGGCGAGGCAGCCATGTCCACACGAACATCAGCAAGACGGCGGGCGACGCCAGGCTCGAAAGACGCTGCATGCCACGCCCCAGAGGTTCTGCCGATGCCATTCGACTCGTGCGCGACCATCTGCACGGCGGCTGGCCCAGGGATGGGGAGACCAAAAGGTACCGATACCGCTACTCCCCGGACCTCTCCCGGGGTGCGTTCTGACCAGAATTTCGAGGCGGATCCAGCGGTGGCGACGAGGGCCTCCCCAGCAGGCTCGAGAAGGGGAAAACGGACGAAGGGTAGAGGTACGGTAGAGGGAAACAATTAGTGAACACCCCCCCTGCCCCCCAAACTCAAAGTTGGCACGCGGGGGGGAGACTGCGGTAAAGGTGCAACTCGTCAGACCCACCGCCAACTTTGAACACTGGGTTCACGGATGAATGTGGCATGAGTGTTCGCTGATTTTGTTCCGAGGCCTGTATGGGTACGGCAGGTTCGTGTCGTGCCGACCCCAGCATTGGTTTTTGACACCGCAGGGATCGTTCAACCTTGAACGATCGGCCGCTGCCGCAACGTCCGATCGTTCAACATCGATCGATTCTGGGTCGCCGGCGGCGTTCAACCTTGAACGCCCGCGCTGGGGTCGCCGCTGGTCGACACGACGCGAACCTGCCGTACCTTTTCCTCCCCCGAAGGGGGGGATGTGTGGAAGAGGAGGAGGAGGAGGAGGAGGAGGAGGAGGAGGAGGCCTGTATGGGTACCTTTTCCTCCCCCGAAGGGGGGGATGTGTGGAAGAGAGGGCAGACGCTCTCTCGGGAGGCGGCGAGGCTTCTCAGGGGCCCGCGCGCCTGCCGAGAAGCCTCCCAGGCCTTCTCGCCCCACGGTGAAGTCGGGCGTGTCCCCCCAGCAGGGGGATTGTCGACGAAACCTAAGGAAAAATACTCAAACCATACCCCAACATCGTCCAAAAGATCGACAGGCATGAAATAAGAAATGCTCCAAACATACTCCAAGATGGCCAAAAAATATGTTGAAAAGAGTCCCCAGACTACTTTTGGAGTATTTTGAAGAAGAATTCCTCCTGTGGAGGGGCGCGCCCGACTTACACCCCACAGCACGGCCGCTCGAGGGCCGGGAGGCGCTCCGCAGAGGCCACCCCGCCAGCTGAGGAGGCCTGCCCCCCCTCCTCACCTCCCCTGTGCTCGCCTTTCGGTCCTCGGCATCATCTTGAGCATCCTCGAAAACTGGGGCTCCCAACTTCGCGCTTCGCGCTCCGCGAAGCGCGAACAACTTCGCGCTCTCGCACCGTCCCCCCCCCAAAGGGAGAAAAAGGAGGGGGAGGAGGAGGGGGAGAAGGAACGAGGACCGCGAAGCGCGAATAACTTCGCGCCCTCGTGGGAGCCCTTGCGAAAGGACCTTGGCGCCGATACTATCACTGACAGGAGAGACAAGTCCTCGTCAAGCCTCTCTGATGCGTCTGCCTGGCTTTGCCCTTGCGCTACTGTCGAAAGCAGTGCCTCTTCAGAGCCTCAACGTGTGCCACGTCAGGGGCTCTTGGAAGAACCTCGTCTGGTGCCTCCTGCAGAGCCTCACGCATGTGCTGCTGCGGGTAATTACCGGCCTGAAGGAGGCCGACCCTGGGCGGGGTGGAGACGATCTGCACACAGCTTCTGCTAGTGGCCAGGGCTGGGGCACGCACGGGGTCCAGAACAGCGGCAACGAAGGGGAATGGAAAGCTTGCCGAGACACCGAGGACAGCCGTTGGCCTGAAGGAGCTGACTCGTAGGAAGTTCCATGGGCACTCCAGCGCCATCATGGCGGACCTTTCGGTTTCACAGGAAAGGGCAAGAACCAAAGCAGCACACTCGCATGACCTCTTGCCTTCTTCCCGGGGGAGGATTGATGGGGCCTGAAGACGAGCTCCCTGGACTCCCGAGAATTATGAAAACCCTTTTCTGTCGTGATTTCTTCGCGACGCGAAGGGGTCTGGTGTGGGCTCGGGGCCCACACCAGACCTTCGACGACCCGACATCCTCGAATCTCTGGGTCCGGGTCCTTTCGACCCTCTCCCGGGACCGGTTGTTTAACATGAGTCGGTTTCGACGGTCCGAAGGCCCGAAGAAGCAACACAAAAAACATACCCTCTAATGTCAACACTTTCTGGAGGAGAAGACGCAGAGGGATAGAGAGTGATCGATGGAGGGATGAGAAGAGCTAAGAGAAAGAGGAGGCTGAGGAGAAGAAGAATGAGGAGAAAGAGAAGTGAGGAGGAATGAGACGGAGGAGGAAGAGGCGGAAAGATCCGGAAAGAGGAAGAGGAGGGTGAGGAGGAGAAGTGACGGGAAGGAAGAGGAATACGAAGAAGAGGACAAGGAGCAGGAGCAGGAAAAGGAGGAGCAGGATAAGGAGCAAAAGCAGGGGGAGCGAGGAGGATGAAGCCTCCGCCGAGCTCAGGCGCTTGTCTGGGTTGAACTGCAGGAGCAGCTCCAGAAAGTCCAGCTGCGGACCCCCCGGGAAGGGCAACGCGGGCTGCGAGGGCTGGTCCTCCTGCTGCTGCTGCTGATGATGATGATGCTCCTTCTCGTCGCCCTCCTGATCAGCCCCGCTCTCCCCCTCCTCCTCCTCCTCCTCCTCCTCCTCCTCCTCCTCGTACTCGTCCTCCTCCTCCTCCCCCTCCTCGACCTCCTCCTTCTCTCGCTCGTTTTTTGTTTCCTCCTATTCTCCTTCTTTTGAACGTGGGACGCTGCCAAAGTGGTCGTGAAATCGCACAACCAGCTTCGATGAAGAATCGGCCTGTCGCATGGGTCGCTGCCCTGCCAGAGCCGATATTGATATACATATATATGTATATATGTATATATGCACACACATATTTACATATATACATATATACATATATACATATATACATATATGCATATACACACATATATACATATACGCACACGATGGGGAAACATGTTAAACCCCCAAGACGGCCCAAGAGGGCCCCGGGAGAACCCCCGAAGAGCCGCAAGAGGCCACATACAAAAATGGACAAAAGAAGCGCATGACGGGCTCGAAAGCCGAAACGTATTGTGGTGCCCTCCTCCTCCTCCTCCTCCTCCTCCTCCTCTGCCTCCTCCTCCTCCTCCTCCTCCTCCTCCTCCTCCTCCTCCTCCTCCTCCTCCTCCTCCTCCTCCTCCTCTTCCTCCTCGTACTCGTCCTCCTCCTCCTCCCCCTCCTCCTGCAAGTGCCCAAGACGCGGTCACGACACAACGAGCGCGCGCCTAATCCAAAAGCCCGAACAAAAGGAATTTAGGATGTACCGGAAAAGGGGGAAAAACCTGTTTGAGCGCACGTAGGGGGTGAAGATGATGACTGGACGCTCCGTTGAAAGATCCAAATGAGGAGAATATGACATTTGTATTACGTTTTTTTCCGACCGCTCGAGCAGTGCAGCGCACCCGCCACTGCGGTTTCACTGACCCTCAGCTCCACCAGTACTCCACGTGCGTGCGCGTCCACGTCCCCGTCCAGATGCACGGGGCGGCCTGCCGGGGGTTCGGCGGAGGCGATTGCGGCGTCGCCTCCGTTGTAGCGGTCTGCGGTCCGCCATTTGCTGCCTGCGGTCCGCCTTTGTAGCCCGCGGTCAGCCATTGCGCCGGTGTGCCACGGTTCCGCCAGTGGCTCTGCCGATGATCTGCGGCTCCTCGTCCAGGTACTCCAGCGCCGCCTGCTTCTTCTGGGCGGGTGTGATTTTCTCGTAATTGTGATCGTACCCCTTCGCCTCGGCGATGTCCTTCCACTTCGTCTTCGTCAACTTCTTGACTTCCATGTCGATGGTTTTCATTTTGTGCTCGCCCTCACGCGTGACCGTTGCGACCCACGTGCCCTTGAAGCCCCAAGCAATCGCGAAACCAACGCCGCTCCCCTGGGCCGCAGGCTCCTCGGGCGGACTGACGCCAGGGTCTCCAATGTCCGCTGGATCCGACGCTGACCGTGGCGGCGCGACAGCGCTTTCGTCACGGTCAGCGTCGGCGAGATGTGGAACGCCGCCGACGCTCATGTCATCCCACATCATCAGGAGCAACCAATTTACGTCCCGAACATCCAGGCCAAACATTCGTCGCTTGAACTTTGCCGCGCGCACAGAACGCATCGCTGTTTGGGTACATCACAACACTTTTGGCGCGCGCCCTCAAGGTCAACGCCAACGGCGCTACAATATTATCCGGCGGGCGATGGCACCCCCTCCCCCTTCCCCGCCCTGCCGGCGCGGTGCGTTGCCTCTTGCGGGGGGGCTCGGGGGAGGGTTCCGCGCCGCCGCCCAGACTCTTCATGGGGTCGCCATCCTCCTCCTTCTCCAGGGTGATTTCGCCACCGCCTGCAACTCTCCACGCAGCTGTCAGGAGCTCGTATGCGCGGCGCCCCATCAACTGACCCTTCTTGACAACCTGGCGCGGAGAGCACGCCCTCAGAACCCAGTCTTTCGCTGAGGTCACGTGCGCGAGCGTCACTGTCTCAGTCTGCCCTTGAACGCTGGGATTCCCCACCTGGATTGTCCGCAAGTCCTTCTTCGAGACAGCGATCGGCTTCTTGCTATGGCCGCCGCTGACGCACAGCCTCGTCTCTACAGTGGGCGCCTCGCCCGAAAGCATTCCGCCACTGCGGTCAGACGCTTCCTCTGCCGCGTCAGCGTCGCAATGGTTTACCTCCTCCTGCTCCACCCACGAAGCCCTCCCAAGCGCTTATTTTTTTTGTCCGGCGGGCGCTGACCGAGCAAGCGGGCGCCGACGCACCGTGCCCAGGACAGGCCACCCGCACCGAATTAGGGGGGGAAGGGGAGGGCCCCCACGACCCCGGCCAGCACAGGGGAACGCGCGGCAGCGGGGTGGGGGGGGGCGTTGCCTCCGCGAACGTCATAGGCAACGCTCACCTCAGACCAGGAGGTGCCACTGACCACTCTGTACACCCTAGCGGAGCGGGCGGGCCCAGGCAGTGCCCCGAGCAACCCTGGGCATCGCGAGTCATCTCCTCTTGCGGGGGTCGCCGTGACGGCGTACGCCTCAACGATCAACCATGACACTATGATTTTCGTCACCCGACCGTTCATCTTCGCCCGTTCGCTCGTAGTCGTTCGTCCCCCTCTCCTGTCCCCTTCAGGCTGTGGCTCTTTCCGCCCCTGGCCCAGGGCCACCCCCACCTGCCCCCAGTTCCCTCCGCCCTCCCTCTGGCCCGGGCCACCCTTCATTTTCGCTCGTTCGTTCGTGGTCGTCCCTTCCCGTTCCTCCCCACCCCTCCCCCCCGCCCCGTGCCTCCACCCTTAGGTCGGGCGTGTCCTCCTACAGGCGGATTGTGGGTAAATAATGAAAAATACCAAAACTACACCTGAGAAAACCCCAGTCAGTGGATGATTTGAAAATTGATACTATGAATCTTGAGATCAATTGTGAGATCGATAATGGAATCGATCGTGAGGACGATTGTAAGGTCGATCGTGAGACCGAGAGTGAAATCGATTCAATGAGATCGATAGTGCGATCGATCGCGAGATCGCTCATGCGATCTCTAGTGAGGTCGCTTGTGATATTGATAGTGGGATCGATTGTGAGATCGATGGTGAGATCAATCGAGAAATCGGTAATGAGATCCATGGTGAAACCGATCGACAAGACGATCGACCAGGAACCCGGGAACCCCGGGAACCTCGCCGCCCTCCGAAATCGGCCCAGAACCCGGAACCCGGAACCCGGGAACCTGGAACCCGGGAACCCAGGAACCCGGGAACCCAGCGTGCGACCAAAATCGGCGGGGCACTTTCGCCAAATCCTTCAACATCCGTGAGGACCCCTTCAGTGCAAGCACTGATTGGGGAACAATGAACCGAAATGGCCAAAATTAGTTCGAACATTCCGAATAGTCCTCCTGTAGAGGGACGTGCCCGACTTACCCCACCCCCTCCCCCTGCCATTGGCCTGCCCCCAATGCCCCCCGAAACCTCGTTCGTCCTTGCCCCCTTGCCCCCGTAGCCACGGGGCATGCCCTCGGTCCCAGGGCACCCCCAGCCCTGGCCCCGAGCTTTAGGTCGGGCGTGTCCCCCTACAGGCGGATTTTGCAGGGAATTTGAAAAATAGTTAAAGCAATACCAAAACATAGTCAAAAATAACCCAAAAATCGTCCCCAGACTATTTTTTAATACGATTTCTGAATACTCCTGCTGTAGAGGGACAGGCCCGACTTAACCCCAGCCCGAGCCCTCTCTCCCGTGGATCCCCCCAGGCCCACGGGGCCCTCTCTGTGCTCGTGGTTGCCTTGGCTTGGCCCCCTGTGTGTTCGTGGTTGCCTCGGCTTGGTCTGGAGGGCTGGCTGGTTCGTCGTCCCCGGCTCCGCCACGGTCCTCGGTCCTCCCCCGCGCTTTCCCCCCGTGGATCTGGCGCTGCTCTTAGGCAAGCTATTGGGCCTCGGTGACCAGAGGCGTCACGTGGATCTGCCCGGGTCCTCCCCCAGGCCGCGCCCCTCGCCGCGCCACAGGTGGTTCGTACGCTGGCGGCTCGTCCCTGGCCTCCACAGGCACCCCCCCCTCGTGCTGCGGCTTCGTCGTGCCGGAGCAAGGGCACGCGTGCCACCTGTTTCTGCTCTCTTGGGCAGGCGGTGCTCTTGCCATCGCTCGAACGTCATTCCTCCTGCACGCGTGTGGTCTCGTGCGTGTTTGTCTTCGCGAAACGAGCCGACATGCTCCTCGGTGGCCTTCGCCGAGAAAAAAGGCACGCGTCCGAGCGATGCCCAGCGATGGCCCCGCAAGCGTTCGGGCGCTCACCTGGCTGGAACCCCGAACGTCGCGCCGTCGCCACGCGGGTCGTGATCTCAAATCGCCCGCTCGTGGAAGGCGCCGTGACGTAGTCGATTCTGTTAGACGAACCCCACGGCCACCGAAGAGAAAGATAACATGCGATGTGCCCCTCTGCGCGCGACCAGGCTAGCAAGGGCCGCGGGGGGGGGGGAAGTGGAAAGCAGGAATGGAGGATGATTGAGCCGCGCCTTTCCCGAAGACGAGCAGAGCCAGGACCCCCTCTCTGGGGATCGATGGCCCTCGGGATGGCTCCGAAGGTGGCCCCGTGGGCCCTCAGCAGGGCCCCTCAAAGCCCCGAGGAGGTGCCAAAGACTCGGGCACTCAACCGGGCCCCGAGGGGACCAGAAAATGGCGCCAAAATACTCAGGGAGGACTCGAACTTTAATCATTGACGGTTTTATTTATTTCACCAGGTTGCGGAGGATACGGGAAGCGTAAGCCATTGCATTCGCCCTTCATCCTTTCGGAGGAAGCCAAGTAAGAAGGGTACGAGAAGCAGGAAAAGACAAAGACTGGGAGAGAGAGAGAGAGAGAAGGGACGAGGAGGAGGAGGAGGAGCAAGGGCAAGAGCACAAGCAGGAGGATGCGATCGTGGCGGAGCAAGACGACTTTCGCTATGCATCAGTCAGCGAGGACACTCATCGATATCCTCAAGAACGACTGCGCTCGTACTCCCGGATGCGCCCTGAGGCCCTGCCTTGCTTTCCTCCTCGACACCGCTACCGAGCGATCTCCTGTGCTCCGCCGCCGCGAGCGGGCACGACACATAGAGCGCACGACAACGGCAGAGGGAGGAGGCAGGGGAGACAGGGGACGCTGGCCTGGGAGGGACGCAGCGGGCGTGACAGACGCCGCGACGATCTGGCAGAGAGCGAGACCCGGCAGGCGGGAGCCCGGCCCCCTGCCCCCTGCCCGGCAAAAACCTCTCGGGGGCGGCAAAGAGGGGGGTGTCCAAGAGGGGGGGGTGCAAATCATGACCGGCGGCATGTGCGCGGCCCAGCGGGGGGGGCCAGGGACGTAATGAAACAAGAAGGGGCGCCATGAAATCTGAGGAAAAATCATGGCCCGCGCCATGAAATCCCCCCCCCCCTAGACATCACCCCCCTCTTTTCCGCTCCCGAACCTCCGCTCTGCCACTGCTATAGGACCCAATCCGCCGGCCCCCGCCAGCCCGGGGCGAAGCGTCGGGGGCGCGCAAACAGGGACTAGCGATCCATATGGATTTGGCGCGCGGTCGCCAAAAATCCATGGATCGGGGGAGGTGCCCTCCCCAACATGCGGCCGGTGCCGCCCCCTTTTCGGCGGCGGGGATGCCCGATTCTCCATGGAAACGGGACCCGTCGCTGATCCACGCCCCCTGAATCCATGTCTGCGATCGCCTGAGAGAGGCATGTGAGACACGTGGCTGCCCCACCTCCCCCTGTCCCCCTCCACTGGGGTCCGAAGTCCCGTTGGACGGCGGGGGCGGGAGGGCGCGCTGCCCAGCGCACCTCCGCAGCCCTCGGAGCCTCCAAATCCAGCCTCCGTGGCTGCCAAGATGGTGCCTCCCGAGGTGGCTCCAGAGCGGCGTCTGGGATGCTGGGGGGGGCTCAACACTGCCCAGGATGGCAACAAGACGGCCCGATACCAGTGGCTTTTGAATCACCTGCGCGATCTTGCCGCTTCGGGTTTCTGAAGCTCCAAGATGGCCCGAAAGCCCCCAGACCGGCCCAAGACGAGACGAGCCAAGAGGCCCCCAAGAGGACCCAGAGATGGCCCAAGAGGGCCCCAAGAAAACCCAAAAGGCCCCCAATGCCACCAAAAACATTTCGACACGGCCAAAAGAAGGGCCCGAGAGAGGCACAGAAGGGAAACCCGCAGGGGACCCGGGAACCCTCCCCTGCAGGATGGCCCCCAACACCCCGAACATGCCACCGAAAGGTCCCCAAAAGGCCCACAAAAGGTCCCCCCGAGGCCCCCCCCAAAGCCGACAGAAACCTTAAAAAGGCTCCGGGAGGCCGCCCCGTGGACCGCCCGAGAGGCCCACCAGAGAACCCGCAACGGACGCGGAGGACAAAGCGCACGAGCCGGCAACAGCCAAACGCGGGCAGCACAGCGGGGAACGGCGAACAGCCCCTACGACTTCGGAAGCCGAACGTCTCCTATATGCTGGGGGCCGGCGGAATGGCGCAGGCCTCTGGAGTACCCAGAGCGAGGCACGGTCCAGTGTGCAGAGCCCATGCACGAAGAACAGAAGCGTGCCCACTCAAGCCTAGGCTCGCGTTCACTCTCGTGCTAAGTGTGCCTCTCTGAGCAAGCCCTGGGGGCGAAACGCAAGGACCTTCCTCACATAACCGCGTGCCCAGGAGCAGTCTGTTACTACATCATGGGGGCCCCGGCTGTGACATTCCACGATGTTGTATGTCTCTCGCTACGTCGGCGTCTTGCGAGGAGCCGTCTGCGGCTGCAGGAGGCTTACAAAACTTCTCGTGATGCGCGAGGGCTTCTGAGAATCCCGGCCGCCCTCTGAGGAAGCCCGCCCCCTCACACTCACCTGCCCCTGGGCTCGCCGCCGACTGAGAGTGCAAGAAAAAACAGCATCGAATCGGGACATCAGATCGAATCGGAATGTGCGTCGGATCGGCCGCATTGGCACGGAGTCGGAGTCGAATCGGATCGGGTGCGTCGAGATGCACAACGGCGCCATGCAAACATCAGGCCGCATCGGACAGTCGGAACATCGAGATCGATTCGGACAGGGCCAGCCCGAGTCGATGTCGATTCGGACCGATCAAACAGAGATAAACCCTGGTGCCTCGCTCCAGGCCTCGCATCGTCTGTACCCCGACGAACCTGGGTCCCGATGCATCAACAAACCATCCCAGCCTCTCCTCCTCCTCCTCCTCCTCCTCCTCCTCCTCCTCATCCTCCTCCCTCCTCCCTCCTCCCTCCTCCCTCCTCCCTCCTCCCTCCTCCCTCCTCCCTCCTCCTCCTCCTCCCTCCTCCCTCCTCCCTCCTCCCTCCTCCCCCTCCTCCCTCCTCCCTCCTCCCTCCTCCTCCTCCTCCTCCCCCTCCTCCTCCTCCTCCTCTTCCTCCTCCTCCTCCTCCTCCTCCTCCTCCTCCTCCCTCCTCCTCCTCCCTCCTCCCTCCTCCTCCTCCCTCCTCCCTCCTCCCTCCTCCCTCCTCCTCCTCCCTCCTCCCTCCTCCCCCTCCTCTCCTCCTCCCTCCTCCCTCCTCCCTCCTCCTCCTCCCTCCGCTCCTCCCTCCTCCCCTCCCTCCTCCCCTCCTCCCTCCTCCCTCCTCCCTCCCTCCTCCCCTCCTCCCCCTCCCCTCCTCCCCTCCTCCCCCTCCTCCCCCTCCTCCCCCTCCTCCCCCCTCCTCCCCCTCCTCCCCCTCCCCCTCCCCCTCCTCCTCCTCCTCCTCCTCCTCCTCCCTCCTCCCCTCCTCCTCCTCCTCCTCCTCCTCCTCCTCCTCCTCCTCCTCCTCCTCCTCCTCCGCCTCCTCCTCCTTCGCCTCCGCCTCCGCCTCCGCTCCGCCTCCTCCTCCTCCTCCTCCTCCTCCTCCTCTCTCCTCCTCCTCCTCCGCCTCCTCCGACTCTCCGACTCCGCCTCCTCCGCCTCCTCCGCCTCCTCCGCCTCCTCCGCTTCCTCCGCCTCCGCCTCCGCCCCCTCCTCCTCTTCCTCCTCCTCCGTCTCATTCTCCTCCTCTCCTCATCATCCTCATTCTCCGTCTCCTCTTCCTCCTCCTCCTCCTCCTCCTCCTCCTCCTCCTCCTCCTCCCTCTCCTCCTCCTTCTCTTGCTCCTCATCCTCCTCCTCCTCTTCCTCCTCCTCCTCCTCGCGCTGCCCACGCTGTCCCCTCTGGCAGCTCCCGCTCCGTCCAGCTCGACGGTAGCGCTCTGGGCTGGAAGTATGCTCGCCAGTGGCGACCCAGGAGCGGTGATAGGCCTCCCCTTCACCCAGAGTTCTGTCGGGCGTGTCTCCCTACAGGGGGGATGTTCGACGAAAAAACACCAAACATACACCAAAAAGGTCAGAAGATACTCACAAAATAGTCCCCAGATTATGGTTGGACTATGGATTGCTTATTCTTGGGGTATGTTTATTTTTCGTCGAAAATCCCCTGCAGGGGGACAGGCCCGACTTAAACCTAGAGCAGGAGGTGAATCGGCGGACGAAAATGAGGAGGGGGCGGGGGAGAAGAAGGCAGGGGGAGTGAAGGAAGATGACAAGGAGCTCACACGATATTGGTAGCGCAGGAACTGCAGAAACTGACACCGCGGCCTCCACACCAGCATTGCATTGCCGAGCGCGGGCGAAGATCGTGGGGAACTGCGCCGAACAAATGAAATGCAGCAAGAACCAGCGCCACAAGCAGATGCACGACGCGGAGCACGCCCGCAAGCACCAATCCCACAGACGAGCTCGGGATCGCCGTGCTGATGCCCGCTTCAGACTCCACGAGTGATCGAGCCTCGCTGATGATGAAGGCACGACGGGGGGAGGGCAGAGGAACAACTCATGCCGCACACATCAACTTTCGGAGGTCCTTGCGGAGCCTCCCCCATGGCCGCGCCTGGCGCGCTGCGTGTCCAGCGCCGATCCTATAAAGTCCGCGCGGACCTCAGAAAAAGTGTGCCGTGGCATCCGCAACGGTGGGTGCGATTCCTTGAGCCGCGACACTTACTGGTTATATACAGACTCGCGACTGTGGTGCCACATCGCTGGAGGAGGCAAACAATATGTGCGTGTATCTGCGTGACCGCACGCGCTGCGTACTCACCCCTGGCCGCCTGCCCGACTTTGCTGCATGGCTGCGCGCGTGGCCGCGACGCCAAACAAAGTGTGTGTGTGTGCGTGTGTGTGTGTGTGCGTGTGTGTGTGCGTGTGCGTGTGCGTGTGCGCGTGTGTGTGTGTGTGCGTGTGTGTGTGTGTGTGAATGTGTGTGTGCGTGTTGTGTGTGTGCGTGTTGTGCGCGTGCGCGTGCGCGTGCGCGTGCGCGTGTGCGTGTGCGTGTGCGTGTGCGTGTGCGTGTGCGTGTGCGCGTGCGTGTGCGTGTGCGTGTGCACGTGCGTGTGCGCGTGCGCGTGCGTGTGCGTGTGCGTGTGCGTGTGCGTGTGCGTGTGCGTGCGCGTGCGCGTGCGCGTGTGCGCGTGTGCGCGTGCGCGTGCGCGTGCGCGTGCGTGCGTGCGTGCGTGTGCGCGTGCGCGCGTGCGCGTGCGCGTGCGTGGGATAACACCTTGAGGGAACCTTAGCGTCAGGTCGGGCATGTCCTCCTACGGGGGGAATTGGGAGGACCAATAAAAACATACACCACCAATTCCCCACAGTGGTCAACAAGATAATCGAACCATCGTCCTCCATCCCGTTTCTTGACTGTTCCTGAATCTTCCTCCCGTGAATAGGGGGCCACATGCGAACCCTACCCCTACCCCCCACGATTTCTGGGGGGTAGGGGTAGGGTTCGCATGTGGTCCCATAGTACACGGACGTGCCCGACTTAACCTTCGCGCGCCGAATCCGCGCGACCCGCTCTGCGCAGCTCCCGCACCTGCAGCGACGGGAGGACTCCGCGCCGAGCGTGCCCCGCCTCGGCGCTCTCTCGCGAAGCCGCGGCGCCGCACAGGCCGCGGGAGGAGCAGGCCCACGGGCGTGTCTGTTCGGGGCAGGGTGGGCCGAGACAACGGCAGCTCGAAGAGGGTTTTGGACGCCCTAAATGGGTACGGAAAGAATGGGTACACTGCCCAACAGCAATTCCTGTTCATTTTGAACAGGACTCGCTGTCCGCGCCGCCGCGGCCTGTGTCCGTTCGAGACAGGAGGCCGCCTGCCCAACAGCGGCCGCTGTTGGTTTGGGACAACAGTTGTTGTTGGGTATTGTGCCCGTTGTGCTGAGAGCCAGAAGAGTTCTTCAGACCCTCCGCGGCCTGCCCTGATAACCCCCGTTTCTGAGAACGAAGACAGCGGGTGCTCTCAGAACGTGAAGCCGATGGGCTAAGACAAAGCGGTCTCGGCCATAAATGTCCCAAGAATATACCCTGCAAACCAAAAGGAGGTTCTCAGAACATTCTTTGGTGCATCTATACAGTGGAGGCCAGTCCACAAGAAACTTTCCACAAGAAACCCAACCCTGAGATTCGAGGACGTCCATTGGTCCTTGGTGGGGGAACGTCACGCTTCCCATTGCAAAACTATCTAAACCCAAAAAACCCAGGCACCCTGGAGGCAAGCAGGGTGCTTCTAGGCATGGGCCTCCACTGTAGGCAAGCCGGGACGCCTCGCTACTGCTTGGGGGGGGAGGGAAAGCGACCCGAGACGACGCGGGACAGGCGGGCCGCGGGTATGCGGATGGCGGGCCGCGATGCCTCGGTAGCGGAGCAGAGACGCACGCGCGCATGGGCTTGAAGGGGGAACGTGAACGTGAATCCAAACATTATAAAGATAGGACGAAGTCAAGACGAGGACAACATCGGGTCAGGATACATCGAGAAAGCCTGGGATCCTGCCGCTCTGGAGGCTGCCTCGAACGCCGCGGCCTTCTCGGAACGCTCCCCCAAAACGCTCCGAGAGCGCTCCAGAACGCCCTGGGGCGGACTTCTCCTCGTCCTCGCCCCACTTGTTAACGCGAGAAATATGAAAAAAAAGACGTGGGGCAAATAGTAACGAATGCTTGCGCGGTCCAGGATCGCAGGAGCCTCATCTCTAGACGTCGCGCGGCTACTGGCAGGCAGCAGGAGGCCGAAACGACGCAGCCCCGTACCTGCCACAGCCGCGGGGGGAGAGTAATAAATATATATATATATAATATATATATATATGTATATATGTATATATATATATATATCAAATGGCCTTGGGAAACACAAATCCGCCGGCCCCCTTGTGGGGCCAGCAGGCTGCAGGGCGAGGTCGCCGCTCCCTGCGCCAGTGGCAGTTTCAAGTCTCCGGGGTTGCAGTCCTGCCCTCTGCTTCCTGTTGGAAGCAGTGGAAACCGCGTGATGGGGGGGAGCCCCAAGCCTGCACTTTACCGCCCCCTAATTGGTGGTCCCCAAACGTGGTGGTGAGAACACCCGGTGGTGAGTTTGGGGCGATTTGGGTAATGGTTTTCGAGCGCTGGCTGGCCCAGGAAACGCAAAACCTCGTGGCGACCGCGTGTCCCCAAACCCGGTGGTGACCCAGAATTATTGTTTGGGGGAATCGGGGTCACCACCGGGTGTCTCACCACCTGGTTTGGAGCCCGCCGACCTAATCGCGTTGCCTGAATTCCCGGGGCGGGCCGTGGGACTCTTAAAGATAAATGAGACTCGCGCCCCCGAAGCCATAATCCCTGGTACAGTATGCAATGTTCGCGCCCCTGGAGCTGCAAACCTTTCTGAAAATAGTGAATTTCTTGCGCCCCGAGGCAACAACTCTTTGTACATCAAACAATAGTCGCGTCCCCGAAAACATAATCCTTTATAATGTATACAATGCTCACATCCCCAAGACCACGAACCATCACAAATAGCACAAGTCTTGCATCCCCGAAACAACAAACCATCGAACAAATATGCAAGATTGGCGTCCCCATAGCCATAAACCCTCGCAAATACACCACATTCGCATTACCAAGGCCAAGAGTGCTCCAATACACCCGAAGATGATTCCAAGACGGCCCAAGAGGGCCCCAAGAGGCTCCAAATGCGCTCCAAGAGGCATTCCGAGAGAGCCCCTGGATGCCCAAATCATCGATTTTACGAAAATTGTTGCAACGTGTTGGCCTTCTCGCATGCTCCGCTTTCCGACACTCCAACACGGCTCAAGAAGCTCCCACGACAGCCCCAAGACAGCCCAAGACGCCTCCAAGAGGGCCCCGAGACAAGAGGGCTCCAAGATGGCCCAAGAAGCGCTCCGAGAAGCCCCCAAGAGGCCCCAAGCGGCCCCAAGAGGCTCCCAGAGGAGCCCAAGACGCGCCCAAGAGGCTTCCAAGAGGCCGAAATGACACCCCACGAGGCCAGAAGAGGCCTCCCAGAGGCGCCCAAACCGCCTCCAAGAGGCCACCGAGAGGCTTCCCACAACACCCCAACACATATACAAGATGCCTCAGACCCACAACCTAGGCACGATGGCGGGATGGGCCGAAAGCCACAGGATCCGCCGACCCCTGTCGATTCATCGCAGGGGTACCTGGCAAGAACTCCCCCTGGGGCTTCGGCTCGTCTCGCCGGCTGCCTGCCTCGTCGGCGTGTTCGCTCAAGATGGCCCAAGATGGCCTCCAAGATGCCTCCACGACGGCCAAGATGGCCTCCACGACGGCTACGATGGCCTAAAGACGCCTCCAAGACGGCCCAAGATGCACTCAAAACGGCCTAAGATAGCCTCAAGATGGCCCAAAACAGCCTAAGAGGCCCCCAGGAGGCCACCAAGACGGCCCAAGACGGCCTAAGAGGCCTCCAAGAGGTCCTCCAGAAGGGCCCGAAGAGGCCAAAGTCATTTATAGTCCTTAGGTTATTGAAGGATTTTGGCATGTGCTTCTTATCGGCATTCCGACGGCTCAAGACGGCCCCATGACGGCCCAAGAGGCCCCCAAGATGGCACCGAGACGGCCCCAAGGGGGCCCCAAGACGGCCCAAGAGGCCTCCAAGACGCCCAAGATGGCCGCCGAGACGGCTAAGATGGCCTCAAGACGCCTCCAAGACGGCCCAAGATGCACCCGAGACGGCCTAAGAGCGGGTTTTGGGCGACAAATGCAACACAGTCGAAACACACTCAAACATAGCAGGAAGGTATTCGGAACATCGCCCCCGGACCATTTCTTGAACCTATTTTTGGATACTCCTCCGGCAGAGGGACACGCCCGACTTGACTCAAGCGGCACGCAGAGTCCAGGAACTTCTGGGTTAGGGGGAAAACAAACCTACCTCGCTTTTGACCACCCTCGCTTCCAAGAGATACCAAACGATGCCAAACCACGGCCTGTACTGGTCAGGCCGCTTGACGAGGAGGCGCGTGGTATGGCTTGGTTTTGCCTGGAAGCGAAAGCGGGGTAGGTAATTCACGCTCTGATGGGTGGCGCTCCGCCACGGCAGCCCCGGCGACGCGGACGGCGCGTCGCTCCGCCCTGCTCCGGACCGGGAGGCTCGGGAGAGCTCGGGGCGCCGACGCTGGGGAGCCGGGAGGTGGAAGAGCAGCATGCCGCGGCGAGGCGTTGGGGGGGCGCATGGTGATGTTGAAGGGGCCCCAGGGCACACAGATAAATACACACAAATAAAAAGATTCCCCATGTTTTCCCATGTTTTCTGGGTGTCTGTCTTCCCCCCCACTTCCCACAGTTTCCCATATTTTCCTGGGAATCGAGGGTTAATTGTGTCTGTGTTTTTTCCCCTCCTGAGACGTGTCGACCCCAGAGCTGGTGCCTGACACCGCGGGGATCGTCCAACCTCGAACAGTCGGCCTCTTCCAAAAAAAAGCGTCCGATCGTTCACTGCCGACCGACTCCAGGGCGCCCGCAGAGCTCAACGTTGGATTATAAGCAACAGAAGTGCCCCCGATCCGCAGAGCTCAACGCTGAATTATAAGCAGCAGAAGTGCCCCCGACCCCTTGGGGTGGGGGCCGCAGCCAGCTGGGCCCAGCACGTCAGGGATAGGGTCTGGCCTTGTCCCCGACGAGGCCGCCCACACGTGTGGGGGCACCCCTGAAGCCGCGGACTTCCGTTGGGCCACGCCTCCGTTGTGCCCTTTGGGGCCCCCGGGGACGCCTCGTGCTCAAGGATCGAAAACGCCAGCGGCGAGGCCGCCGCCGATCGACACGGCGCGGCCCCGCCGCAGGGAGAGACACGCCCGGGAGGCCGCTGCCGGCCTCGCCGCGGCCCTCCTCCGAGGGCGGCGCCCGCCCGGGGCTTGCCCACGCTCTGTGTGGGGGGGCGAGGGGGGGGGGAGGAGGAGGAGGGGAGGAGGAGGAGGAGAGGAGGAGGGGGGAGGAGGAGGAGGAGGAGGAGGAGGAGGAGGAGGAGGAGGAGGAGGGAGGAGGAGGAGGAGGAGGCCCGCCTCCGAGGGCGGGCTGGCCCGCCCGCCCGGGGGGGGGGGGGGGGCAGGGGCTGTGCGGCCCTGGAGAACGGGCCCCCCCGCTCGCGCGCGGCCCCCTCCCTCCACGTGTTGAGCACGTACGAGGCGTACTCCGCCTCCATGGCTTCCACGTCGGTGGGCGTGGGCTGGGGGCGGGCGGCGGCCGGGGGGAAGGGGCAGCGGGGGCGCGGCCGCAAGAGAAACGCCCGCGACAAGGCCAGCCGCCAGAGTCCAAGGAGTTTCTTGCCCAGGGTCTGGGCTTGTGAGCCAAGGGCTCCCGCTGGAGAAGCCCAAGGTATGAAGGCCCGAGAATCAAGTCGGGCATGTCCCTCTACAGGAGGAACACTCAAAAATAGTCCCAAAATCGTGAGGGGACGATGTTTCTATTATTTTTGGTAAGTTCTTATTCTTTTGGCCTAGTTTTTTTTTGTTCGTTCCAAATCCGCCTGTAGGAGAACATGCCCGACCTAACCCGAAAAGTCTCTTCCCATGGCGAGATCGGGAAATGCGCGAGGTCCGATTGGGGGAGGAAACCCCGCGGGACATGGGGCAGCAGCAGCAATTTCTGAATGATCGGGTGGGAATCACCGCGCACCCTGGGAGCGAAGAAATCCAGGGCACCCCAATAAAAACCATCCGCTTTCTTGGCGCCACTGCAAAATCAATCGAAGCGTTCCTCTCCCAAAAATGTTCCCCCGAGGGGTTCCACAACGGTTGGGGGAGAAAGCAGTCCGATAGCTTGGCCAGACTTCGGCCCAACGTTTGGCCGCATGGGCGTTTCCAAACGGCAGGTGCGGTGGCGATTCGCCGTAGTCGCCTTCGAAAAAAAAATCGAAGAGGAAAACGCAGCATAAACATTAACATTGCGAGGTCCGAGATTTCTTGGATTGGCGCTGGACCCTCATGGCGGCGCCTCAGGCGCTGCCCCAGGCGCGCTCCGCGTTCCAGGCAGGGGGGGTCCAGCGCCGGTCCGAGAAATCCGCGCGGACCTCCGAGAATTCCTGTTCATGAATTTTGAATGGGCCCTGGGACACACAAATAAGTAGACACAAATAATAGGATGCCCAATATTTTCCAATACTTCCTGGGTGTCTGTCTTCCCCCCCATTTCACATACTTTCCCATATCTTCCTGGGAATCGACGATTCATTGTGTTGCTGTGTGTTTTCCCCTCCTGGAGTTTACTCTCTGGGTCAAGGCAATGGGTTATCGGGAGGGCGGATGATGTCAACGGCACGTCGCCGTTCGGAGCCAGTCCGCGCGTCACGCTTCTGTTGCTGTCCGAAGGCCGAATGTGCGTTTTCGGCGGCAGCGCGCTGATGGATTCCCTGTGGCGGCGTACCATCGGTGCCGTGTCTGCTCCCCCCGGGGGGACACAAAGAACTGACAACTGCACAGAAACATGGACATTCAGAGGTCCGCGAAGACGCTGGGCCCCCCATTCCCTGGCGCGCGGAGGGCGCCTGGGGTAGCGCCTGAAAGGCGCCGCCACGTGGGTCCAGCGTTAGGTCGGGCATGTCCCCCTACAGGCGGATTGTGGGCGACAGATTCAACACACGGAAAATACATAAAAAAAAACACTAAACCGAAAAATCGTCCCCAGACTATTTTGTAATGTTGTTTGGGATACTCCTCCTGTAGAGGGACACGCCCGACTGAAGTCAAGCGCCGATCCGAGAAAGTCAGGGCGGACCTCATAATAAAAAAGCTTGATGTACTGTTTTCCATTCCAGAGGAGACGATCGGCTTGCCCTCCGCGTCTTCGGCCCTGGACGCAGCGAAGCAACACTCTAGCTGCCCGCTTGGAGGAAGAGGACGAAGACGGGGGCATGCAAGCAGGCAGCTACGGCACACTCGTGTGGTGACCACCCGTCGTTGAGCTCTGACACCGCGTGGATCGCTCAACCTTGCACGAGCAGCGGCTTTTCGGTCGCCAGATCGTTCCACAATGACCGATCCTGGGCCACTGCTATGTCGGGCAAGTCCCCTACACGCGGATTCTGAACGACAAATAAACAACATACGCAAAACAACATTCAAAAATCGGTCAAGCATGTCATAAAAAATCGTCCCCAGATAATTGGTTGACTATTATGGAATATTCCTTCTGTAGAGGGCCGCGCCCGCCTTGGGGCCAGCGGCGGCGTTCGCCCTGGAACGCCTGTGGCGGAGCCGCCGCCGCGCCGGCTCGACGCGAACCTTCCGATGTGGACCACCGCCACTCCCGGCCGGGGCCATCCCGGGCCCGGCCAGGCGCGGAGCTGCCCACCCTGCCGGAGGAGTTGGAGGAAGTCTCAGGCGGGAGCCTCGTCTGTGAGTGAATTGTGAGGAAGTCTCAGGCGGGAGCTCCTTTCCTATGGAGCACGCGCTTCGTGTTGGCACCCCGAGCGCGGTCATGCGCATTCTGTAACCGTCGTCAAAGGCTTCGCGAACCAGCCGTCGGCGAACGCGCGCGCGCTGGCCGAGGCGGCGACGGCGCCGAGGAAGATCGATTTGCTTGCCCCGACCAGGGGGAAGCGGGGGAGCACATGGAGAAGAAGCAGGGGAAGGATGAGGACGGGGAAGGGGTAGGGAGAGGGTGATGATGAGGAGGAGGTGGAGAAGGAAGAGGAGGAGAAGGAGGAGGAGGAGGCGGAGGCGGATGGGGAGGAGGATGGGGAGGAGGGGGAGAAATAGAAGGAGGAGGGGGAGGAGGAGGAATAGGCAGAGCAGAGGGACCCGCGCGCCGCCGGCGACTCCTCCAGGCGGAGGGCCTTGAGCCAGCATGGCTTGAGCCAGATGGCCACGGACTCCCTCTCACCCGGCGGGCGGTGTTGACACCGCACCGCTTGGGGACTCCCGCGCTGCGATCCCGCGCCGCGCAGGCGGCGGGCGCGGAATCGGCCGCGTGCCTTGCCGAGGGTCTCCAACTGCTTGTCCCACATGTCGATGGTCGATGTGCCGGGGAAGAGGGGCGCTTCCAGCACCACCTCTGAGGCGAAGGCAGTACATTCCCGTGCCCCCCGCTCCTTCTCCGCGGTATCCACCTCAACGCAACCTCTGGATCACGAAACATGGGTAAGATAAGCTTGACGCAGGGTCGAAGCGCGCAGCGAGGACCTCGGACTCATGAGAACACGCTTGCTGCGAAGCTGTTGAGCACGGAGAGTGTGAGGGCATGAAGCGAGATGACGGCCCAAAGTGGTTTGCCAGAGGCCGAAATTTTGCATAGTAGTGCTTCGGAGTGCGCCCAGACAGCCCCCCCCGGTGTTACGGCTGACCCCAGCAAGCCCCCCAGAGTAGTCCGGGGCGGTCTCAACACCATCTCAATCCTGGGGCGCGGAGCGCCCCAAGGTACCCGCCGGAGGCGGCGCCAGGGTGTTGAGACCGCCCAGGACTACTCGGGGGGGGGGCCTGCTGAGGCCAGCCAGGACAGTCTCGGGGGTCTGTCTGTGCGCAACGTGCCTCTATCTCCTGTGCACTCGTCTCATCCCCCCGCTCCCCATGATGCTGCTGCAATGGGCCCAACCTCCTCGTCCTCCTCCTCCTCCTCCTCCTCCTCCTCCTCCTCCTCCTCCTCCTCATACTGTTCTCCTGTTCTCCTGTTCTCCTCCTCCTCCTCCTTTTTCGCATCATCCGCCTCCTCCTCTTCCTCCTCAACGACTACTCAATGCGAAACCTGCTCTCCTCGCTCCCCTGAAGTTGTTTGGATCGTGGTCCAGCCCCTTCCGCATAGTTTCCCCCCCGACAGGATTTCAAATATTGGTATGTCCCATGATTTGACGATCCCATTGCCGCTATTGTATAATACTGTTCTAGATGCAGCGTGGGCAAATTCTCTGGATCCCACAGGCCTCGCAGGTTCAACGGTCTCGCAGGTCTCGCAGGCCCCAAAAGCACCACAGGCCCCACAGGTACCACAGGTCCCACAGGTGTCGCAAGTCGTCAAACAGGTCTGGCAGGCTCCACTGGTCCCACAGGCCCCACAAGAGTCGTAAGTCTCGCGGGTCACACGGGACCCACAGGTCCGACAGGTCCCTCAGGTTCCACAAGTCCCACAAATTACGCAGGTCTCACAGGTCTCGCGGAGGTCCCACGGAAGACCCACTGTGTATGGGGTTGAAGTACAAGGGTGCAGAACCCCTGATCCGTTGGTAGAGGGAAGGAGGGATAGATGGATGTTTTTCCCTCCTGCACGATCAAAGGTCTGATCGATCTGTCCCAATACCTGAGCCCAAACGGCCAGGCGCAGGAGAGGTAAGGATAAGGAGTATATATGAGGGTATTACACGGGTTCTATTCACACACCCCGTCCCGAATCCCGCCCGTGAGGGTAGGACTCGGGAACAGAGGAAAAGAATCCGTCACCCTTTTACTCCTTTAATCCCTAGGTCTGCAGGCAGCTGAGCTTAAAGTCAGTATAGCCTCAGCTGCAAAGTAAAGTAAGAAGGAACACCCTGGGTCCCCATTTCTTCGCCAAGCACACTTTGGTGCCCCCTCGGCGCGCCCCCCAAAACGCTTCGGCACTCGAGGGCGGAGAAGAATGAGGCAAGGGTGGGCAGAGAAAGAAGATCTGAGCAATAAAGCAACTTGTAATCTGCCTCGCCTTTGCGAGGCACGTGTTGCCACCAGCTGTCGTATTATTCTCAACGCAATGTAGTTATACTATAATGAATATGCACGCTGAGATCGCGTTGATGAACACGATCGTGCTACGGAGCGCAACTACATGTAAAAGCAAATGTCTGACCAGACGAAAGGTCGTGTTGACAAACACGAAAGTTGCATGTATGTGAATTCTATATGGCGGCTCCCGTTGGCCTTGCTCCTTGGGAGGCTGCCTTGGTTATCGCAAAAGATGTTTGTATGTGTGGCCACTTGCGTTGCATGGTGAAGTGGCCTAGAAGTATGTAATAGCCACCGCTCAAGGCGAACTTTGATTATAATGAAGTTCAAGCCTTTGAGCGGTGGGCCTTGCGGCCGACTCACTACGCGTTGCCGTTCTTGTAGAACCTGCGGTCCCACATCCTCTGGCCATTGTACGTCACGTAGCTCGTCGTGAACGTTTCCCAAGATGTCCTCGGGACCCAGTGGAGAAACCACTCGTTGTACTGGATGTCGCGAATGTATACGAACTCGTCGTTGTTCAGCGCGATGTAGATCCAACAGTTGATGTAGTAGCTCCAATACCTGAGGCCCCAATGACTGTCCTCAAGGTCGTAGCGCAAGTAGGCGGCGTAGTCTGCGGTACGCGCTCGCTTGGCGCGCGGCCCCGCGGGCATGTGGCCCGCCGCGCCAGAGGCGCTGGACTGTGCAGCATCGCCAGGGGCAGGGCGCGGCGGCGGCGGTGGATGGCGCGGCTCCATGGCATCATCAGACTGATGGGAGCGTGTATCAGGTTCGATCGGATCGGTTCTCATCCCTGAATCAACCCCCCTCTGGTCGGTATGTGACGGATCGAGGGAGCCCAACAACTCGTTAGCAATCGCAGCAAGCTTGCGCGGCGTGACTTTCTCACGGGTGCCACCCCTTCTAGGGGGGGCAATCGTGACAAGTCCGCGAGCCTGCCGCGTTTGCCTCTCGAGTCTGTCCTCGTTCAGCCACCATTTCTTCCGACCAGCTTGTCCTGTCCTGATGCTGGTATCGAGGATCGTGCAGGCATCACGCATGTCGCCCACGTCCCAGGCCTTCTTGCCCACGTTCACGCGAGCGCCTGTCATTTGGTGGTGGAACTTCAAATCGTTGAGAAAGCGCTGAACGAGATTGGCATATGGGTAGTACAGAGGCCTGTCGTCACCAGCCTCGCCCATCAGTCTGCACTCGTGCGCAGGAGGGCGACCAGCTTCGACCCACTTCTGATACCTCTTCCTAGACACATTAGCCATTCTCCTCAGCGAATCTTTCTCATTACCTGGGAATGAGCGCGCGCCCGTCATAATGACTTGCGTTCCGTCTCCCATGCACCTCGTGATGTCACCCTGGGAGAGCGTCATCTTGATCCAGTTGGTCAGCTTGTGGAGGTATGCTAGATCGCTCTGGACGGCGGTACTTTTACCCGTAGCACCTACGGCCACGGTGTACTGCCAACAGATGCCATAAAGGGTACCATCACCTGTGACGATCCCAAGGGATAAGTCTCGACCGCAATTCCGGCATCGCGCGATATCATGCAGGATCGTTTCTGGGGCTCCCTCCGTCGTGAGGTGCTCACGAGATCCCCAGCGAGTATCCTGACCACGAGCAAGACTGCGGCCGATCTGATCCATGGCTTCGCGGTTGATCTCGGCGTTCGGTCGGGAAGCGATTGATCTACCCAATCCCTCGATCTCGATCCTGGACAATCTTTCCCCGGGCAGTCCTATGTGCTCTGTTGTGTCGTTGTCCGCATGCTCGGCATTACCATGGCATACGTTTTCAATGCGAAGACGGCGAGCCTTCTCCTGCAAGGCGGACTCGTTGTCGCCCTCCTCGCGGTTGACTCCCGTCTGCTCGGCTATGATCCGTGCCATGGTTTCTTGATCAGGAGCTGCGGATGCAACGCTGCCTGGGTCCTGGGGAATATCCTGCTCCGCGCCTGGGTCACGTGGCGCGGCAGGTGTTTCCACCAGCTCCTTCCATACGGGGAAGTCTGGATTACCGAATGTGGCGATGCAATGTTTAAATAGATCACGCAACGTTTGGAGTGCAGGATGTTTCTGATGGATGGCATCTTTTGTGAAGTCACGGAGCTCCGCAATACTGCCCATCAATATGTTTTGATATATTTTGGAGATCCATTGAAAGACGCCTGTAGTCGACTCCTCGATGGTCTCTGGGTCCAGGTAGTGCACCAACTTTTTGAAAAAGTGGTCTGCACTGCGAAGTGGCAAGTCACGTGCCCATTTGTGGGTATGATCATAATTCAAATAGTATGTCTCTGCATTCCATGCTTTGGGTCCGAATTGAATCTCAAATCGTAAGTGCGACTGTGTTTTATCAACCACAATTCTGTCCGCACCAGTGTGTACCTCGATGATTTGTTTCATCTTTATCATAGGTGAATCCACCAACAACTCCGACGTCCAGCGGTAGATGCGGCGGTCGTATGACTGTTTAATCCACCTTGAATCCTCCTCTGGTTCGTAGTCTGGGTGGTTGAGGAAGTCTTCTGGCGGGTCAATAACGTTGTCGAGGATGCTCGCATCAACGTGCTCGTCTGCTTGGATCTCTGCTGATAGATCTGCTCTCATATTGTCATTTGCCGCTTTTTCTTCAGCGGTGAGCGATATGTTTGATATATCCACGATAACGGTAACCAAGGGTTCATCAGATGAGCCTGCAGTTTGTTGAGGTCCATCGTCCGTAGGAGCTGTAGCTTCAGCAAGTGTGGCCACCAGCTCTTCGGGATCGGGTGTCCGAGGAGCGGGCTGTCTGGTCGGTGTACGTGGAATGCGTGGCCTATAAATGCTCGGCATACCAAGATATGGCAGACTGCCATCAGTTTTGTGCTGAAGTATTTTGTCACGGCATGAGGATGGTCCCTCCAGGACAGTATTCATATATGTCGGGTCAATGGCATGTTCGTCGATACGAATTGGCAATGCAAAGACAACGCCCTTCAGAGGCATGCGTTTGCCATTGTACCATATGTTTACCCATCGTAAACCGTAGTTGAGAATAGGTATCTGCACCGCGAAGAACTTGTCAAAGACGCCGAAATGAATGATTGGACCACATGTGTGGCCCTTATTCATGGGGACCTTGGTATCGTGATTGCCCTCGGGGTAGTGATTGTCATAATGATAACATTTGATAGATCCCCAATTCTTAATGGTAATGAAGTCCCCCATGCGAACATCATTAAATGCAGGGCGACGGTCCCAATCTTTTTGTGTAATATTTGATGTAATAGGTCGAAGAGCCTCTCGGCAGTATGACAGGGCAATTAACCAGTCTTTACCATCTGCTTTGTGATTGGTGTCCTGAATCATAGCACGGACCATTTGCTCAT